TGGTTCTCCCTTTCCCTCCTTTTTTCCCCTTTTCTTTCCTTTGCCTTTTCCTTTTCCCTCTTTCTTCTGGTCCTTCCGCTTTCTTTTCTTCTCCCCCTCCTCCTCGCCTTCTTTTTCCTTTTCCCTCCTTCTTCCCTCTTGGCCCCTTCCCTCTTTCCTCCCTTCCTTCCTCCTCTCCTCTTCCTTCTTCCTCCCCCTCCTTCCCTTCCTCCTCTCCTTCCTTTCCCTTCCTTTCCCTTTTTCCTTCCTTCTCCTCTTGGCCCCTTTTCCTCCCCCCGTTTTTTCCTCTTCCCTCCTTCTCGCCCTTCTTTCCCGGTTTCTTTTCTCCCTCGCTTCTTCCCTTCCCGCTTCTTCTCTTTTTTTTCCTCTTTTCTTTTCTCTCTCCGTTTTCCTTCTTTCCTTTTCGCTTTTTTCCCGTCTTCCCCTTCCCCTCTTCGTCCTCTTTCTTTCCTTCCCTTCTTCCCCTTGGTCTCTCTCCTTCTCTTCCCCTTCCTTTTTTCCTTCCCTCTTCTTTCTTTCTCCTTCTCTCTTTCTGTGTCCTCCTCTTCCCCCTCTTTCCTCTCCCTCTCCCCTCTCTCTTTCTCCCTTCTCCCTCCTCTTCCCTCCTTTTTCCCCTTTCTTCTTCTTCCTTTTTCTCCTTCTTTTCTCTTCTCCTCCCTCCCGTTCTCTCCTCTTTCTTTTTCCTTCCCCCTCTCTTTCCTCCTTTTCTTTCTCTCTCCCCCCCTTCTTCGGTCCTTCTCTCTCTCCTTCCTCCTTTTTCGCTTCTTCCTCCCTTTTTTTCCCTTTCTTTCTTTTTCTTTCCCCCTCTTCCCCCTTCCTTCCCTCTTCCTCTTTTTTCTTCTCCTCTGTCTTTCTTGCCCGTTTCCCCCCCTTCTCTCTCCCTCGTTCTCCTCCCTTTCTCCTTCTCCCCGCCTTCTCTCCTTTCTCTCCTCCCTCTTCNAAAAAAATTAATTAAATAATTATATATATATTAATAATAAATTTATAAATTATTAATAAATTTTTTAAATTTATTTATTCTTATTTAAAAATCTTAGAAATTAACCAAATATTAATATCTCCTATTATAATATATATTTATTAAAAATTTAAAAAAATTACGTATATAATAATTATAAATAAATTTATAATTATAAAAAAATTATATAATTTATATATAATAATTATTAAATAATAATAATATTAATTAAGAAAATATATTTTAAATTATATTAAATTATTTATAATAAAAAATAATTAATTTTATTTTATTATTAATAATATGGAATAATATAATTATTAATATTAAATTATTAAAAAAAAAGAAAAAAAAATATAATAATAAAAAGATATTATATTATATAAATAATTTATTAATATTTAAATAATATTTAAAATATTTATAAATTTTAAAATATATAATTATTATAAACCTTTTTTAAATTATAATAATATATTATAATTTTATTATTATTTTTAACATAAATTATAAAAAAATCTTTACTTTTATAAAAATAATATTATAAAGATATATATTATAAAATTTAACAGATTTACCAAAAAATTAAAAATTAATTTAAATAAATTAAATTTAATAAATAGGGTAAAATTTAATAATTAATAAGAAAAATTTTTAAAAAATATTTTTATTTACTTATTATTTTATAAATTTAATTAATTTTTAATTAATAAAATTATTACAAAATATTATTAAAAAATAATTATTTATATTTATTAATATATTAAAATATTTTATTTTAAATAATAAATAAATTTAAAATTTTTTAATTTTAATAAAATTAATTTAATTATATTAATATATAATAATATTTAAATTATTTTAAAGATTTTAATAAATAAAAATATTAATAATTTTATTTTTAAAAAAATGTTAAAAAGGGAATTTAAAAAAGATTTAAAAAAAAAAAAATTTTAAAATAATTAAAAATAAATTTAAAAATATATATAATTAATTATTATATATTATATAACCTTAAAATTATAATTAAAGTTTATTTAAAACCTTTAATTTACAATTAAAATTTATTTAAAACTTTTAACTTATAATTAAAATTTATTTAAAACTTTTATATTATAATTAAAATTTATTTAAAACCTTTATATTATAATTAAAGTTTATTTAAAGTCTTTAATTTATAATTAAAAATTTTTATAATTATATTATTATAATTAAAATTTTTTTAAAAATTAGTTATTAATTATTAACCTTTTATATATCTATTAAATATATTTAAATATATAATAAAAAAATAAAGATTTAAATATATAAAAACATTTTTTAATAAATTATATAATATAAAAATAAATTAAATTAAATATATAAATAAATAAATAAATATTAAAATATAAATAATTATAATAAATTAATAAAATATAAAAAATTATAATAAATTAATATATAAATATATATTAAAATATAAAAAATTAATATATTAAAAAATATTAAAATATAAATAATTATAATAAATTATAACAAATTAATATATAAATATATATTAAAATATAAAAAATTAATATATAAATAAATATTAAAATATAAATAATTATAATAAATTAGTAAAATATAAGGAATTATAATAAATTAATGTGTAAATATATATTATAATAAAAATATAACATAATTATATAATTATATAAATTATAAAATATTATTATAAAGAAAATATATATATTAAAAAAAATATATTTAAATTATATAGGATTTTTAATAAAATTATATATATAAGGTAAATCTTAATTAAATTCCAAATTTTACCCGTTTTTTTAATCAATGCGCAATATTTCCTTAAGGGTGCTATGTCGAATTTGTGTAGACAGCACTAATACCTACTATCATACTCTTAGTATTGACAAGGAATCGTATGACTCACGCAATATGGTATGTTGCTTCTACACTTCTAAACTACATTAATATTCTTCTTTAAAGTGCTAGTTCTCTGCAAGTGCCCGTGATGCCACAGCATGCAAACATATATGCCGGATTATTAGGAGGGAATTCAGGTGCGGGTTATTGTTTCAACTATGATTGCATGAGCGCACGAATCCGCTAGACTCGGCTATGGTAATGACTTTCCAACACTAAATTAGATCATGTCGTGTACTCGGCTACGAGCTAAATATCGTTCTCGCTGGAGGCTATGTGTTTGCTAATAGGCTTCGTCTTCTCTTCGCCTGAACATATCACAGTATCAACGTACGAGAATATAATACTAGTTAGTAATGGTTTGTTCTTCTATTTTAGACAACATTTAGATAGATCTTAGAAATGTACTCATCTAGTCGCTAGCGGTATACTGGGCGATATAGAGGATGCCAGTCTTCTAGCGATCTAGTCTAGATATCTAAGTAAATAACCAAAGACGCCCCCTTTACCGCACTACTTTAGGGGTTGCCCCCCCAGACAACCTTCTTGCCATGCATTATGTAAGTGTTTAAACTAGTCATCCTTTACTTTTGGCTGGTAAGGCGACGCTCCGTGTTAGCACGGGAGTTGACAAAGTCGGGATTATTCAAAGTCAGTTCAACACCTCCCGAGAGAATGTGGTCAACTGCTTCAACACCTTGCATGAAACTGGTTTGAAAAATCAGTACACGATAGTGGGCTTGGGATATACCGGTAGACTCACCTGTGATCTTGGTTGCCAACCTCGTACTTCCAGGCTCCAAAACGACCTCTGGAAAGAATATCCTTTCTTTGGAGGTACGGAAGAGCTTCTGCTAAGACGCCGTTGCGCTCTAAACTGGGGGTGGGGTACCCGTGGTCGAAGCGACGCACGTACGTACTAACAATCTCATCTTCTGGCTCTAATAGATTAGTGTTAATGAGCCCCTGAATAGAATCCTCCAGTAACGTCTCATGTTTGACGGGCTTGTATGAAGACTCAGAGACTTCAAGCATGATAGACCAGTAAGGCCCAGACTGTGCATCTGACGACACAGGTTTCTTCCCGTTGGCGAGCTGCTTTGTTGGAAGCTTAACATCCTTGCCCGGCTGATTGAAGGGAGAGTAATTGGAGAAAATGGTGGCACGGTAGAATGGGCAATTATCCTCAACAAAATACAACTATTTTGATGTCTCGTAGTTAGTTGCTATGATGCTTGAGGGAGTAAGAGGTTACACAAGACGCACCCAGCATTTGTCACCAATACGTGAAGGACGTTCACCACGGATTCCGATACCAATTACGTTGGTAGAGGAATAGAAGAGCGGCTTGAGAGTCTGCTGAAGTTTTACATCGCCCAAAGACTCGGCAAGATGATCAACAGCCATGGTAGAGACGAGCGAGCTGTACTTGACTACCGTGCCTATGATCCTTAATGCATTAGCGACTTGTTTTCAATGCAATCCTGAGCAGGGCAATAATCTGACCATCTTTTAAGTAAACCTTCTTTGCGTCAGCATCTACTTTAGTCACAGTACCGTGTGCACCGAATCGTGTGTTCTTCTTGTTGAGAGTCTTTGCTACTGCAATCCAAATCCCACCTGTGCCGCCGTTGGCTGGGAAGCGAAATGTAGCATTCGGGCCCCAACTTCCAGCTACCTTGTTGAGAACAACATTGCGGGTGAGTAGTTTCACATTAGGAGCCGCGACACGTTCCCCAACCCATGTTGCGTTCATCTAAGCAAAAAAGACAAGCACGATTAGCAGAAAGTCTAATGGTTTACCAGCATATATGTATACCTTAGTGGTAGGCACGGCCCAAACTTTGAAGTTGTATGGGCGCACTTAAATATCCCAAGTTAGTTAACCCTTCATCAAATATCGGTGGTGAGAGATTTGTAGTTTAGAACCACAACTTAGCCCCACGACACTGGGTAACTATAATAAGGAATTCCAGCATATACTAAAATGTGTGAAACAACCACATGCTGCAACTTACTAAAGATTTCGTTTAGACGATTCCCTATATTCCTAATATTCCACTCATCAAAGTTCTTGGGCTTGTCGGAGGGGGACCGAACACGGGATTCGAGGGCAGCATCGATAAGGTCTTCTAGACACCTTACTTTCTCCTCCTTATCTAAAACGGCGATATTGTTCTGGAATGGGTATGGTACCCATCCGCCTCGGAAGCGGACATAACTGACCCTCTATAATTCAAGCTTAATATTCAGAAATTGATCTATTTGGCGAACCTTGGTTCGGCGCGTGGCCAGTCTACCCCTAAGCGGATATGGGATAGGTAACTCGTCATGTCTTGGGAGAAATAAGGGTCAATGAGTTGGGGTACTGACCTGGTGGGTATACCAATCAGACTCTTTGGGTAGAGCTTCATCAATGCAGTCGTCGAAGTACTTGTAATGCGAGAAGATAACGTGACCACCGACATCGAACAACTACATCGGAGGTCACTTCATGAGCTTTTTATCAATCAATGGCGGAAATAATAAGCACTCACGAATCCTTCAGGTGTTACGTCCGTAGATGCGAGACCACCTGGGGTCTCATTGGAATCAACAATCAGCCACGATACCTGATTCTATAGCCAACTCGTTAGGATAGATTTGTGCGATATGATGGTATAAGTGAGTTTACGGTTTGCTGAAGACGCTTCGCAGCACCTAAACCAGTAGGGCCTGCGCCGATGACTAGAACGTCGACATCACTTGTAATAGTTCATTAGCATAATACAGTTATTACACGTAGGTAAGAGTTGATATGGCTTCATACATCTCTTTACTCGCCATGATTGATAACTATGGAAGGGTAGATGATCTGATGATGGATCGATAGTATTTTGGTATCGATTATTTCTAATTCAAGCCTAACTGACGAGGTAGGAGGTAAAGAGGTAGTTGACTGAAGCTCCCTAATAGAAGATTATTTTCTTTTCGAGGAAAGAGGAAGAGATTTTGACTTATTTAACAAAGGGAAAAGCTGAAGGAGTCGTATAGATAAATGTGTCGAACAAGGTCAGGATATCAAAATTATGTCTTACCATTCACCCTCCATTACGTACGTGGACATACCTGTCGCCGGTAAATAACCCCCCTTAATTCCTATTTGACCACCTAAAGAAGGACCCCTGGACTTGCCCTAGGTGAAGATCCTTGGAGCTGATAGGATAGTATAGCTACCTACTAAGGGATTTTGGTGAAGCACGCAAAAAGAGAACTAAATGCTCCAATATACGATGCCCCCTCCTAATGCACGTCACCCCACCCTCCCCTCAACTCCCCCGTGTTAGTCCTGCCAAGAGATGATTCCCATCAACTACGTGAAATCGATCTATCTTATTAATGTTTGGTGTTTATCAATTTGTCTCCTCTTATTTAACCACATGTTAACCACCGTTTTCTTGTTGCCTATCATGATATGATCATTATGTTAATTGATAGCCTACAGATGTCATTTGGTGTATGTTAGTTACTATTTCATAGGTACCTACCTGTCATACATATTGAATCGAGATAGATCGTCTAAGATCTACGTGATCTTCTCACCGCCTCCCCACGACCACGATCTGAGGGGGTATCCTTGTTGTCTGCGTTTACAATTTATCTTGCTGCATCAAGACGAGATTCCTTTGGATCGCCTAGTGCAACTATGGCATGCAGTATTATTACCAATATCATTTTATCTATGGAATCTCAGATGTCCTTATACTACTTATCATCAGTGGCTAAAAATTACGACGATACTTTTTAACGCTGCGGCTACCCTTGTATCATCGATGAAGCTATTATTGACCTTAGGTACTTACTTTAAAATAGGTATCGACCTACCTATTTAGGACCGCATCTTTACTTCTAACAACTTTATATTATCTTTACCATTCTCAGTTTATGGTAACTCAATTTCTCTATATTAGTACCTACATGTAGATACTGAGGAATAGTGATGGATAGTATAGTGTGTTGTAGAGGTTTTTGGGACCCCACTTCTACTTGGCCAAATCTTATATGTATATGCCCTTAGGCCCTGTTTGGGGTGTAAAAAGATGTTCTATTAGGAAAGATTCTAATGACTCCACTTATACTTGGTCAAATCTTATATATGCCCTCAGGGCATCGTACCTTCCAACAGCCCTTAGGCTATCCGTACCTTAACCTAGTGCCTTTTGCAGGGTGATTATTACCAGTATCACGTGACGGTAATTGAAAAAGGGTAAAATACCTACATACCTCCTAGGTAATGACTGTACCAACTTTTAAAGTTGGTACGATATATTACTCGTCTAACCTAACCATATTCAGCCATGTTGAGTGACAGACTGTTTAACTAGGTTACTTCATTGGATCAAATAATTTTGCATCTTGCGTTACTTGTTCTTCACCGGACGAAATTTACAATCATGTCCCCTTCGGCAGTCGATCATCCTTCCGACGACGCCGCGCGGGAAGCTGCCGCTAAACTAGCCCTTAGTGAAGATTTGCTCAAACGCGCCGAGTTATTGCAGTCTGAGCTTCAAAGTTTTTCGGATCACCTCACAGAAGTATACAGCGATTACTTCCAACATATGCCAACGTATGTGCATACATCATTTACCAGCGAGCTCCGGGCCGAGGTTGAGAGCTTAGAGAGGGCCTTTCGTGATGTTAAATCATCGGATCCCCTAGCCTCACATCGGGCACAATCTACCAATCTTCCGTTCCTCGAACCCGTCTGGGATACCGCGAAAAGATCTCGAGATGTGGTGAGGCTGCGGTGCGCTGTATCTACTGGTCCATTTAAGAAACCTATTTTGGCTCCTGGAACACGTATTGTTCGAACTCAAGGAGAATCACAGCCTTTCCGGTCAGGCAGTTTTATCATTGATGTAATCGCAGATGGCGGCCATTCGTGGTATAAAGTTTCGTCAATGACTAATAAAAGATTACTGTTTGATCTAGCAAAGGAAGCAATATTCTGTGGAGATAGCGACGATGACGAGGATAGTGATATTGGTGTAGTTCAGGACTACACGGATATCCCGCTCGTGAAGCTAGCTAGGAATCTAGCTGACACAGCCAAGGGACATCGCATTCAAACGAAGAATCCAAGGACTTTCCTCATTCTACCACGCATAATGAAAGGCGAAAATCCTGAAGTTGATAAAGTCATAGAGGCTTGTCGGCAACTAGGTGTCAATACACTCTGTAGCGATGCCTTACCGCCAGCTCCACCTATCTCAGGTAGTCTCCTTCATGTAATGGCCCCGAGCCCAAAAGCCAATTTTACGGAAGTCTTGAATATTGATACTTCCCTCCTCGTTGCTCTCGCGTCTGACTTTTCTCATACCAAAGTCACTAAACAACCGTGGTTTAGTCATTCACACAATGATCATGCTGATTTAGAAAGCGAGCAGTCGATGCTTTCATTGGTATATCCTATGATAGGTAATCATAAGCTCGTGTGCACACGGGAAGCAGCCGAAACCTTCTTCCATATTGTTAACACGTTAGCGACCGAGTCTGAAAAGACACGCGCCTATTTGATACTTGGCCCTGACGCCGAGAAATCTCAAGTACAGCGAGCCAATGAGTTGCAGTCGCTGTCGATTCACGAAGTGCCACCGAATTTGCAATTTCCCATTGATATCGTCGACATGAATGAGAATGACTGCCAGGCCCGCTTCAGTGAATTAATAAAGAAGAAGCTTGATAGCGTGTTAAATCCTGGAAGATCCGTCTTTTCCTACGGCTGGGCAAGTGGCCTGACCACGCTGACCTGCAACTCGGTTTTTATTAAGCAACTAGAGAAAGACCTTGAACAGCTTCCCACTCTTGGGGACCTACCCTGGCCATCAATATGGGCTTTCTCTACATCGAGGCCGTTTGTCGGCGTTCCCAAGGATATTCGGAAACGCGTGCGGAAGCATATCGGGGACTGTAGCGTGGCTTGCACCTGTGGGATTGTTGAGCTCTACGGTCACCAGAGTAACGTTACGATATTATAGTGTCTAGGTAAATATCGGTAGGAATATGTCAACATTATGTTGTCTTCATCGTGGGTCTTAACTTGCGGAAAAAGTCATACCATGGCTCGGTACCTGCTAGCACGACAGTGCTTGAGCTATTCCAGTTTGACAGGTATCCTCGGTTACTCGGGATCTTCTCTCGGTAGCTACCCAGCGTGACATGAGTTACCACCTTTTCTATTTCAAGGTGTGTTTTTTTTTTTTCGTTTTCATCCTTTTGCTAAGTCAAGATATTACGTTGATCAGTTAGAATCTGATTTCGTAAAATCTACTTAGCTGAAATTATCAACTTTCTCTTTTCCAAAGGTTTCGGTGCGCAATCGCAGCCAGCATCACCATTAAAGGAAGTCTGTCTTAATAAATGACGTAATATTGCATTCGTATCTATTCCTAAACGACGAGTCTAGAGTAGGATGTGTGCTTGGACCTGGAGATCGGGAGAATAATTAATCTACGGATCCATCCCCGGCATGTCGTCTCCCGGCTCAATTAGCACACTCATGTCGTCTACCGTTGACCCCCAGAGTTTTTCCTTCGCTCAATTGGAACGTGCGTGGGTACGAGTTGGAGTTATCCAAGCTACTTTGCAGCATCAATGCATCATTGATGCGGGGAACGGAAGGAGACGAGCTGCTACGCTACCCCACAGCTTTGGGGGAGCTTGAAGCTATAAAAGCTAACATGGTAAAGGTTGAAAGCTGTTATGTGAGTCTCTAAAGCGTCTTGAAGTCTTTCAGGAATTAAATATGGCACTTCTATTAGGGTCAGCCATATGGCTTATGAGCTCGGGGGTTTTAGCTGTCGGGCACATATTTCCAGACTGCGGAAACGGACCCCTAGCTTCCAATGATGTTTGTAATAAGGAACTCTCCGTTGGAGAACGAGCAAAAGCTCTGGTTGCGGCCCTCAAAACTGAGGAGAAGTATAATCTATTAGTGAGCACATCACCTGGAGTCGAGAGACTGGGACTGCCCAGCTATGAATGGTGGCGTACGTATTACTCCCTTCAATATGAGTTATTATTATGAAAGTACTTACTAATAGTATCCTAGAGGAGGCTCTTCATGGAGTGGCGTCTTCGCCAGGAGTCAAATTCTCAGATTCCGGTGACTTTTCCTATGCAACATCCTTCCCGCAGCCAATTCTCATGGGCGCTGCATTCGATGATGAACTTATCGAAGCCGTCGCAACTGTCGTCAGTACTGAAGCTCGGGCATTCAATAACTTCAATCGATCAGGATTGGACTACTGGGTATGGTCACTTTCACAGCTTGTTACCCCTTCACCCCTATTTTAACGTACTAACCAACCCGTTTCACCAATTCCAAGCGTATAAGTCGAGGGAGTGAAATTCGTTGCTAATGGTACTTTCTTATGTCTTTCTAAACACAAAATGCTAACTTATAGGCTACAGACTCCGAATATCAATCCATACCGTGACCCTCGGTGGGGGCGTGGCCAAGAAACCCCTGGGGAGGATCCCTATCATCTGAGCTCTTACGTGACAGCCCTAATAAAAGGACTCCAAGGCGGAGAGGACCCTGACACCCTCAAAGTTATTGCAACTTGCAAGGTACGTCCTCATGCATTAAAATATCTCAAATGGGTTGTAAGAATGATACTAACTTAGGCTATGTAATAGCACTTCTCCGCATATGACATTGAAGATTGGCTAGGGAATGAGCGTTATGAATTTGACGCAATTGTCACTCCCCAAGAGTTAGCCGAGTATTATATGCCCCCATTTGAGGCTTGTACTCGTGCAAATGTCGGTTCTATCATGTGCTCGTATAATGCTCTGAATGGCGTTCCAACTTGTTCGAGTTCGTATATTCTCCAAGACATTCTTAGGGATCACTGGAACTGGACACGCGACTATCAATATGTCGTCTCGGACTGCGATGCTCTTCAAAATGTTTACAAGCCTCATAATTGGCGGGATACTCGTGAGGCATCTGCTGCCAGCTCCCTCTTAGCGGGGACTGATCTTAATTGCGGCACTTATTATCAAATACATTTACCCACAGCTTACGAACAAGGTCTTATTAATGATACTGTTCTCGACCAATCTATTACGCGACTATACGCGTCGCTTATCAAACTAGGCTACTTCGATCCGGAAGACTCTAATGAATACCGTTCTCTTGGCTTCTCTGATGTGTTTACCCCCGACGCTGAGAACCTTGCTCGGGAGGCTGCAGAAAAGGGTATCGTGCTAATCAAGAATGATGGCACCCTTCCACTCCAAATATCTACTGAGAGTAATCTGACCGCTGTTTTTATTGGAGACTGGGCGAATGCGACGACCGACATGCAAGGCAATTATCAAGGTATTGCTAAGTATCTACACTCGCCATACTACGCAGCTAGCCAAGCCCCAAATATCAATGCTGTATACGCAGGCATCCCAGGTGACCCGACAACTGATGGCTACCCGCGAGCTCTAGAGGCTGCAGCAGATGCAGATATCATCATCTATACAGATGGACCAACGACAGCGAGCGAGGCAGAGAGTAAAGACCGCACACTGATCCGCTGGTCCGGCGAGAAGATCGATATTATGACGCAACTAGCCAGTCTAGGCAAACCATTTGTCCTCGTGCAAATGGGTGGCCAGCGCGACGATTCACCCTTCATCAACCACCCCAACGTCTCCGCCATTCTCTGGGGCGGCTACCCAGGTCAATCCGGCGGCGATGCTATCTTAAACGTGTTAACAGGAAAAGTTGCCCCCGCCGGCCGGTTGCCCGTAACGCAGTACCCAGCGCATTATGTCAACGACGTACCCATGACAGACATGAACCTTCGTCCCAACCCAGAGACTGGTAATCCCGGCCGTACATACATGTGGTACGATAAGGCAACCGTACCATTCGGCTTTGGGCTTCACTACACCAACTTCAGCGCCTTTATAACCGCACCCGAAAACGAAAACGATGTGTGGGCCATCACAGACCTAACAAGCGCCTTCGCCACCACAGCGCACAAAGACCAGGCCCCATTCCAGACCATTCCAGTAACGGTTTCCAACACCGGCGCCACAACATCCGACTTCGTCGTTCTAGGCTTCATTGCCGGTACGCACGGGCCCGAGCCGTACCCTATCAAGCGCCTTGTCGCGTATAAGCGGCTGCACGACATCGCGGCTGGCGAGCAGCAGACGGCGAACCTGACGCTGACGCTCGGAAGCCTGGCACGCCGCGACGAGGCTGGAAACTTGGTGTTGTATCCTGGGGAGTATAGCTTACTGGTTGATGTGCCGACACAGACGGCTTGGAATTTTACGCTGGAGGGTGAGCCAGTTGTGTTAGATGAGTGGCCGCAGGACACGGGGAGGTGAGATGTATGGATGCGATGGATGTGAGAGGTATGGTAGAACTGGATGGGTCATTTTGATAATACAGATTATAATTAAGAATGGTATGTCACGAAGAAATCGTCTAAGACGTGATTCATAGGCAGTGATATTGATACCCTTTCTCTTATGTTAAGTATTGATTTGAGCATCCACGTCGGCGCCTATGCAAATCAGTATCTTCACGATATTCTCGCACCAGAAATCCACTGCCACTGCAATAGAAGGATCCTGTTTATATCTGCAACGCCGTCAATCAACATAGCAATATATGGGACCCCGGGAATTGATTGAACACCCGGGTGGTGAAATCCATCTTTTAACTTCATTGATAGATTATTAGCATTTACCAGCATATAATACCTATGTATTATTAAAGTATCGCAGTAAACTTATCCATATATAGCAGCCGTAATATATTGCTAAGATATGGCAATGCGTACCGCAAGAGAGCCTTTAACTGTTTGGAGCACTATAAGATCATGATCATATGTTATATCCTCGATAGTGGTTTCGTATAGTTTCGACCTAGGCAAGACGTGGAACGCTAAAGCAGCCGTCATGAGGAAAAGTTCGCAATATGCTAAACTATAAGGTGGCAATTAGGATTCAAGTATTTATATAATCTTGGATGTTGAGGACGTAGACATACTAAATTCCAAGACATGACCGAGTACCTTTTCCAAAAGAAATCAACATCTTCTCCAAGGCGTAGTTCGGTTGCCCGTCCACGAGCCAGCGTTCAGGGATGAACTCGTCGGGATTCGGAAATAGTTCTTCGTTACTATGGTTAATAACTGAAGTCATACCAATAGGTGTACCCCTGGGAATGACCCATTGAACACTGCCGTCTCTACTATTGTAGACCAAATCTTCGGTTCGCGCGATTCGAGCTGACCTGTGCGAAACGCCAGGTGTCAGACGTAACGCTTCGTGGATCACCGCCCATAGGTACGGACGCTGCTCCAAGTCGATCCATTTGAGATTGAACGGGTCAACACCCCGCAAGGCGTCCATCAAGCACGCATAAAGCTCCGGTTGTGCGAGGAGGTAATACGTGATATATGTGAGTGTTGCCTGTAAACTCGATTAGTTGAATAGCAGATGAATACTAGGAGAGCAACTGACCGCCGTAGTCTCCGTTCCAGCTAATAAAAGATTAAACCCTTCCCCAGACAGGCGGTACATGCTCTTTTCGTGCTCCGGTAGTATATCCGATTCCATCAGGTCCGCAAACACCCTACCATTTTCAGGATTGTCGATAGCTGCCTTGACGTATTTAGGGATGATCACATTCATCCATTCCAACATCTTCCTTACATTTTCGCCCATGAAGTTTCCTATTAAAGGAGAAAACCGGGCAAGTGTTCTAACAGGGGTGTTGTATCTTATTAGGTATGCGCTTTTGAAGAAATACTTGACCCATGTTGCTAAGTTGGGTTCCCAGCCGTCTTGGTCGACGAAGCCCATGGGCTCGCCAAAGGCGTACTGAGATATGACTAAAACATGCTGGAGTTAATATAATCTTTTTAACCATTTGTAGGATATGTATGTCTACAGTGATATGCGCTACCCCTAATCAGGAACCTCATTGATGCCATGGCATTAGGAGAAAAGGGGTAATGAGAGGCCAAATGTGATACATACTATCGGCTGTGAAGCAGTTATATGCCTCCTTAACATCAAATGGACCCTTATTCGCGAAGCGCAACATCTTATCTATTACCCGCTGCGTAAAATCACGTACTTCTCCTTCAAGTTTTAACACTTGCTGTCGCGAGAAAAACCTTGCAAATGGAGCCTTTCGGATTCGGTGCAACTCATGCGGAACAGTGGAAAAGCCAGTAACAGACACGGGGCCGGCTGCGCCAGTATTGAGTTGATGTTGCCACTTATCCCTGATGCGGTTTCCGCCGGCGTAGATCTCGTCTGAGAAATACGGATCATTGCAGTGAAGCTCATCGGGATTTATTCTGACAATTGGGCCTGCTTTTTATGAGCTTCGTCTTTGGTTCGCATGAATACCTGATACATGAAAACGGAAGCTTACCGTACTTCTCATGCATCTGACGAATTCTTCTGCCATACCTTCCCACTAGCCACCAGTCGAAGTAGGCCTCGTAAAAATAGCTCATTGCAGCAACTTTAGGACCAGGGAAATGGTAGAGGGGATGTAGCGGTGATATATTATATACAACAACGGCCGCATAGTACGAGATCCATAGGCCAACCAGTACGGGGATATTTAACCACGATAAGATCTCCTTAACATGGTCCATCGTGAGGCTCACGTTCGAATTCATATTGACTACCGCACACTACGCCGATGAATTTTATAACAATAAATTGAGGGGAAAACGAAAAATATTATTCACCTTTCCAGACCCATGCCATCCATTATGTCTAGCTTACTTGTGATACTTACTAAGTAAGACGAGGGGTTCACTTAAACCCAATCAAAGCTTCGGGATACGTAAGATGTGGTTCATATCCTCTACCTTCATGGCCTAGGATAAAGCCCACTATAATGCGTAATATAGCGTAGCAATAAATTTAAGACGATAAATCAATGTCCAATCAAATATCATCACATAGGGATTTCGATGCGCATCTCAGAAAAGGAAAAGGGGGGAAAGTAAACATATGTGCACCTTATTCAACATTTCTTCTCCTACTCTGAGTAACTACATAATAATGCAATGGTATAGTTTTAGTGAGAGTTAACTACCTAATATACTCGGAATTTATGACGTTGGAACATAGGTGCTTATATAAATGATATAATTAAATGAATGTACTGGTTTGGCTAGGCCAGGCATAATGGTCAGGTGTGTAGTCAAACTTGTTTAATGAAGTTCTTCCTTCTTCAAGCTCTCATCAAATCCTTGTTGAATTTCTATCACAGTATTAAGGTGCCTGCGATTGAGAGGGGCGCCATTGAACCTTGCCAATGTCCTCGCAGTATTGACGACGTTAGCGATCTCCCTTCCGTTCAGCTTGGCAGTCACCAGGGAATCGACTTCTCCTTGGATATCTATCTCCTTGGCGTCCGCTGGCACCGCCATAAGGCAATGCGACCAGATACGTCTGCGCACGTCAATCTCTGGTGGCGTATAGCTGAGGGAGAGGTGGATTCTGGATTTCATTGCAATGTCGAATGAGCTCACACGGTTCGTAGTCAGGAAGACGACGCCACCGAAATATTCGAGTTCCCTGAGGAATACTGTAGCGCCGATATTAGATATAACTATGTCAAAGAGATTTAGATGAAAAAAAAAATAACTCACCAGCAACTAACGTGTTGCGTTCGGCATTTCCGGTGTCTTTCCTGGATTCTAGGAACACGTCGGCCTCGTCAATAAGTACCACAGCTTGCCAGATCGTTGCGTATTGCAATACTTTCTTGAGTTGTTTCTCAAAGGTGGCAGACCCATAGATTGCACTAGTGTAAGTTAGAAGAGAAGCCCAGAACGAATAGAGTAAGATTTACTTTGATCCCTTGTTCAACTCCCCTACTGAAGTCGACACAAGCGCTTTTCTACTTCCTTCAGCAGCTGTCTCGGCCGTGAGGGTTTTTCCTGATCCAGGCGTCCCGTGAAGCAAGATAACAAGGCCTTTTCCTTTTTGCTGCATCGAGTCGCGAGGACTCTTAGAATATGCGTGAGATGATATCAGAGCTCTAAGCAGATGCTTCTCTTTGTCGGGAAGCACTAAGGAGTCCCACGCATTCGCATCCCATTGGACATCACGGATAAAGTCAACGAAGAACCGACACCACTGTTTGCGCCCAAGCGAGTAGCCCAGGGTGTATGGTGGGCAGTATACCGGCTCTGGAACCATCTTCTTGACCTGAGGCTTACCTAGAGGATGTTCCTCGCCATATGTCTTCCGATCTAAGATAACCCTTCCCGTTTCAGTATATGGTAGCCATACGCCGCGAAAGTTACATCGAGAAGGATCGTAGTACTCGAAAGGAGGCGTCTTGAGCCATTCAGCAGCGCCATCTGTAAGCATGTAACTATTAGTATGTGTACTATTCTGGAATCTGAAAATTTTCCTATTGTCGGAGAGGGCAAAGGGATGTCTCTTCGTACGTACCGTAAGCCACAGTAGAGAGGTTCTTCAGAGACAAGTATTTCTCTCCACGTACCCTAAGGCGGTGTTCAAGGCTATCGCCCTCATTAACAAACCTGCGTGGGAAGATCTCTAGTTCCGTAATGGGGGCCGGGTTTCCTGCCGGGAATGCAGCTCTCTGATTCAAAGCCGTAACATATAATATTTGGCCTGCTACCACGCCATCATCGTCTGTGCAGGTGCAATGAATTTCGAGGTACGGACCGGTATCCTTACTATCTTCGTACGCCGTCTTCTTACACACTAAGAGCCAAGGATGGCCGCTTTCTTCGGTGTATAGGATATCCCCAGGGCGATATATAAACCACGCATTGTCGTAAGCGATTTGCTGTTTCTGGATCATCTTGAGGGCACGGTCACGATCCGGCTTAACCTCGTGTTCCATGAATTCAAAAAGGAGATCCAAATGTTCCCGTGCAATTGCATCAGTTGTAGACCTGCGGTATTCCTCTAGCTCGTCCCAGTAATGGGCGAGCATCTCGAACGGGCCATGGAGCTCCACGGAAGAGGTGAAGTCCGACGCAACAGCGATGTATGACTTGATCACGTCACGGAAGGCTTTCTGGATATATGGGGAGTTGATATGCAATGTAGTCTTGCTAGGTTTGTGCTCCTCATATTTCCTTCGGATAACTAAAGCATAAGCGCTATCTTCATCGTGGGAGTTGTTCCTATCAAAGGGGTCCGGGGCAGGCTCCGTATTCTTCTGGCCGTGCTTGATAGTCTCATGGTAGGCCTTGAACTCGCACTTTTCGCCGATGGTTATGTTTATGGACATGCTGTTTGTCTTGGTATTTTCTACGTCAACATGATCAGAAGTCATATTGTAGAAAGTGAGTAGCAGCAGTGTTAAGAGCTTGCAAGAATATGTTATTGAGAAGATATATGTAGAATCTGGGGTTTATTTGATGAGATTTTCGAGTAGCACGATCGATTAGGATGAACAGTCGTCCGTTGAAGGTAGGTATTTATATTCAACCCTCTGGCTACCTAATCTTGCCGAATGCCGCGCATACCTCTGCAGCACACTGTGACAAAGGTTACACTCATGGCAATATGACTCGCTAGGTTTCTATCCGTGTAGGGTAACGATAAGCAGGCCGCATCACATTATGAGTAAGTGTATATGAGTTTTAGAATCCGTATTCGCCAGCCTACTGCCTCTTAGCTGCCTTAGATAGCATAATGTTGAAGCTGTTTCGCGTGGCTGCAGTAGGGAGCTCACGCATGTATGTACATATATACATAGGTAGCCAGGGTAAGGGACAAGGATTTGAGATTTGGATGAATATAATTGGTCCCATGATATAGGTATCTGTGATCATCTGCTGCACGTCGTTAGGACTTGGAGCTGTACGAACAGACGAAACTAACCAAATACGTGTACGTACATTTTACTTCTTGCATCAACCATGATGCGGCTCTCTTCCATATGATACCTCTTATATACTAGGTACCTATGTAACCATCTCGTATGTTATTCGCGTTAGTTAATATGACTTATACTCATTCTGTTCCGCTCGGGATTTGCTAGGGTATTTTAATTTGTATATCATGTAACTATCCGACCTTGCTAGTAGTTCAGATCTATTTTGGTTGGCTGAGAATCTTTAAATAATTTTTGCTAATCAGTAGGCTCATCTGTGCGGTTCGCATCTTATTACTTGGAATTGTTTCTAATATTCTACGTAGGTAGGTACCTATACCTACTTCCTTCCGGCTTCTTTGCTGCCTACTTGTACGATGTGTCCGCAATCTTTTATACATACAAGTACCTAATGATGAGAAACGTTTCACCAAATACAAAACGACAAACGGTAGTGGGAGCTGAGTCCTATGTACCTGACAGGGGGGATGACAACAGATGCAACAAGCACACTCAGTCAAGGAATATCTACCTCATACTATCTGCTAGTATCTCTATAGTGTATATGATGCTACCTATGTAGGTACTCTTCATTATATCGACAGAGTATAATCCCTACCGGAGCATGCTGCAGGCTGCAGGCTGCGGGTTGTGGGCTGCTCTGTCGCAGCAGTTGGCATAATTTTTTTTTCTTTAACCAATTAAATTCTTTCCTACAAAGTAGTTTCGCCCCTCCATCTGGGGGGTATGTACATAGCCAAGAAGCATGTAGGGATCCCTGCTCCTGTTCAAGATGAATTACACTATGTATGTACAGTAGCGTAGATCGTTTCAACAAGCAGGGACCTACTTCGGATGGATCTACATCTACGACAACCCTTGCCTACTACACACCTATCTATCATATTCTTGTGGGATGCGTCTTCCGTTGTTCACCTATGTAAATACTGTATTTCTGCATACAACTCAAGACGGCAAACGCATCATCCCACGTTAGTGCTGTGCCACCCGCATCACGTATGTACATAGTCTTGTTGAACTTAAGGCCGTATGTCCACACGTAAATAACGGTAATTAGGACTTTAACAAGCAACACAAAACCCCGGCTGTATATTGGTAACCAAGTCAATTCGTAGTGTATAGTTTTCACTCTATACAGTACTTCTACAGTACTTCTAAGAAATCCCATTTAACTTACATATCCGTACATCCAACCGTATGTATGTTTATGACCATGTAATGACTACCTGGCAGGACATGCCGTGCCTTACCGCTGCCAGCCTTTCGGTGAAGATATGCACCTAGAACGTGCAGTAGCTTTCCTCGATGATAGTAGTGTTATATAGTGTTATAATAGGCCATACCTATCTGCGGTTGAGTGCCGGCTAAGGAGATATGTGTATGTGACATGCGACAACAAAATAGCCTCCCATCTATTGAACCTTCCGTTGAAATAATACTGGAACATCTTATTTACATCATGGCATGGCCGTCAATACCGATGACCTTGCCGTTTACCCACTCGCCGTCTTGGGATGCTAAGAAGCAGACAACACGGGCGATATCGATGGGAAGGCCAACACGGCCGAGAGGCGACCACGTGGCGGCGTACTGCGGAGTTGAATTAGTTATCTCCCAACACATAAATAAAGTAGCTGAAGGATTGTAAAAAGTAGTAAGCTTACCTCGTCAACATCCGAGTCACTCAGTTTGTCGCCACCGGGGATGTACTCTCGGCATACAGCTTGGTACATATCGGTCTTGATGCCACCGGGCGCGATGGCGTTGACCGTGATCTTCTTGTCGCCAAAGTCGACGGCCATGCAGCGGACGAAGGTCTCGATAGCGCCCTTGCTGCCTGAGTAAACCGCGTGCTTCGGGACACCCTTAGCCTGACCCGTGATGCTGCCCATCAGGATGAGGCGACCGCCGACCTCGAGGTGCTTGTGGGCCTCACGCGCGACGAAGAATTGTCCTCGAGTGTTGACAGTGAATACACGATCGAACTCTTCCGGAGTGACATCCTTGACGTGACCGAAAGATACGACACCGCTATTAGAGCATACGATGTTGAGCTTACCCCAGACCTTGACGGCTTGGTCGAAAAGTTGCACGATTTGGTCCACGTCGGACACGTTGGCCTTAATCGCTATGGCGTCGGAGCCACCCTTCTTGATAGCTTGTACGACCTCCTCAGCTGACTGCGTGCTGTTGGCGTAGTTAACGATGACCTTGGCGCCGCGGCGTCCAAGTTCAAGAGCCATCTCCCGACCAATACCGCGCCCTATATATATCTCATGGTCAGCTCCGATCCTACGCATCCTATCTCCTATTTAGGAATGTTTTAATGAAGGGCCATCCCGCCGATTGACGGTTCAGCCACCGGACATCGGTTGGGGGTTCCGGGACGCTGTGTTGTAACACCCCGCCCTAATCTCGGATGCGCCTAGCCGTTAAATACTATTTTCGTGGTGTGCGCATGGTATTTGATACACTGGTTGGGAATTGAGGCATGGGTGGTTGAGGAACGGAAAGAGAAAAGGGGCGTTAAGTACATACCAGCACCGGTAACAAGAGCTACCTTGCCCTCGAGAGAAGCAGATGCAAGACCAAGGGGACCCGGGATAGCATCGTACTTGCTCGTTTGGTTGGTTTGGTTGGTTTGGTTGGTAGCGCTAGGCATATTGAATATATTGAAGCTAGTTAATATGAAGGGAGAGTATAATCGTTAAAGACGATATAAGGGTGGCTTCTGGAAGGGCTTGGTGAAGATGAAATGTTGGAAGTGTTGATGAAGAAGAGATGAAGACAGTCTAGACAACTCCAAAGGGCAGGCGTTTGCTATATATGGGAAGCGTCAGTCCGTATCCCTTCTGTGGGCGCACACAGCTCTAACCCCAAGGGCAGGTTTCGGACCATGTTGGAGAGACACCGAAGTGTACCGGACATCGTAGTACCAAAAGGGGGAATATGTTGACGGTCCATTCTAAGTTCGTGCTATTACATCGGCATCCATCGACACGCGAGCGCGAGGTCCGGAGCACCGTATATTATTTAATTATATCGAAGTCCGAAGGGCCTTAGTAAGTTTGGCCGTCTAAATGGGCCTTTGAATATAGGTAAATATGTAAATATGTAATATGACCACTTGGCATATATTACTTCGGACCCGCGTGAAGTCGCGAACTACCAACCTCTAGGTAGGTATATACAGGTAAGAGCAATAAGAACGCAACTATACCACCTTTCGGTCCCGGTAGAATGATCCTAAGCGGGCTAATGATACACATAGGAGGGTTCGATACAACCGGCGTAGATTGGGTTTATACTAGGCGTAGCTAGAATTTGACAATGCGTTCTATATGCGTCTACACATTGCTGTAGTTAAGTGTCCCGTTTCGGTTCAGAATCAACAAATGACTACGCCATATCAGTAGGTGTAATAGCTTGAGCTGGGGTTTAGTAGCTTTTTGTGTACTAGTAGACGCTAAAGGCGAAGACAGGCGAATGTTGGGATGTGGTTACAGCCACACGGGATAGCAAGTAAAAAAAAAAAAGCCAAGTGCGGGAAAGGAAACTGTGTATTGGCCAAGGCCTGGCGCCAAGTATCAATGGCAACTGCATACCGGAAAAACAAATTCGTAGAAGGAAGAAGAAACCATACATACAAATGTCACACGAATTGCTCTCCGAATCAAGATTTAGCTATGTGTCGTGGAACATACGCTGGATTGATAGGCGTGGTACGAGATCAGATCCTGCATTTTGCTCTAGATAGTTTGGTATAGGTATCACGCCCCGAATCGTGAGCCGCCAGACGATCCTATTCCATGCGCCTCTAATAATCCATTTGTAGGATGTGCAATATGTCGGGACCGAAGAGTCAAGACTATGGGACTTTTATCTCCGAAACTGTCGGTAGTTAATTAGATTAGGTACTTTCAATGTTGCTCTCAATGGCGACTCAACAGTTTCTACCAATGATGTTACCCTCTGTGATTATATACATGAAGAATTCTCCGAGATATTGAGGGCACGTGGACTTTCCCTTCTTAGTATATACATCTCTTCCATGGACGAGATACTTGCACGTAAGTTTAACTACTAAGATTGGAGAAAACGTAAGACACTTAAGCTAATAAGTTATACCAAGGTCGAATTCGCTGTTCCAAGAAAAGACATTGCATGCAAGATATTATATTATTGTCTCAATAAACCGTTAACATTCCGCAGATGATACTTGTCACCACTATGTTTTCTGCAGCACAGGTTGGAATTGCTTATCCTTCGACACGTATAGGACTTAAGGTTGCATAGAGTGTTCTTATTATTGAGAATATTCTAAGCGCCCCTGAAAATCCTACTTGATTCGAGTAACCTAGCACTGTATTGAGATAAGTACGGATAATTGTTAGGCTATGACATACTTGATATGCCAACTAACCAATAGTCTAAGGCTTCGATGACTTTACGATGCACGAATTCATAATGCGGGTATGATGACTTGAGAATCATACCACATGATGCGCCTATGCGTAGTATTTCGGCTCCCCTTCGGCTCGCGAGAATTGGGGTGTAAGCAGGTTCGTTACTAGAAAAGGAAATAATACCATCAGAGGATACCGCGCCCTTCGTGAAGACTATTGATCCTGCTGGCGTACGGAAGGAGTTCCGGATCAGTCAAATTCCAGATCAATTAATTATTAAGCCCAATCTATGCTACATCATTGTTTCGGTGCTCGCTATTGGGAGGACACCGTTATACCATCAAAGCGATCGTGTCACACTGATAAAGCAGCTAGCGCGTCATATTTGGGCAATTCAGCTTCTTTAGCTTCTCCTCCGCGATTTAAACTTCTTAGATGAGACCGCCGTGTCCGTTTAAAGTTCAAGAGACCGGTTCGCCCCGGACCCGCTAACGGGAATAAAGCCCGACTCGCCTCCGGAGGCCGGCTGAGGCTTAAGTAAGACAGAGCGGTAAAATTGGCTATGACTTCAGATCTACATGGCAAAAATGAAAAGGTGGTCCTTACTAGCTTATATATGAACTACAATACCTCTATTTGACCTTGGATGATTAAAAAAAAGGTAGTACTTAGGTAGGTAAGTTACCTAATACTTTGATCTATATTTGTGTTTCTTCTCTCCTCTCTCCTGGCTGTATTCTCATACGTCCTTAGGAAGTGATTTGGAGATGGTCCCTGCCAAGGCCGTATTTTAATCGGAATGCCGCCAATAACCTCGGGTTCCCACACCTTATCCTCTTCACTGCAACTCTTCCTTCTCATACGCTTGCCCATCGTACATCCCCTATGTCCCGTAACAAACAACACCGCGCTCTCATTATCTTGAACAAATAGCTCCTTGATCCGCCTGACATCCGGGTATCGGCTCTGGAGTCGCAGCTTCTGCCAGTCGTTGTAGCTGCACAGCCGGCTGCCGGGTAGGAACTGCCAACTCGTCGTTATTTGGCCCATGTGGCCTATGCCCGAGGCTAGCAGGTCGTAGAGCAGGCCCATTGTTAGGATACCCTCCTCGCCCTCCTCCACGCTCTTGTCAGCGTCCCCGGATACCTTAGAGAAAGGGGGTGGGATGTCGAGCTGCTTGTACTCCATACTCGTGCCGCCATACACGGTGAGCACTTTCACCACATCTACCGACTTAACGCTTGGCCCCGTGCCGAGCGTTACGCTTAAACGACGCCAACTTGCCTCGCGGCGTAAGTACGGCGAGCCCTGCATCGTAACTGCTTTCACTGATGCTCCGTCCGCCTGGCGCTTAGTAGCCCATGGTAAATGACGGAATGGTATCCCAGCATTCCAGCCCTCGTCGGGGCTGAATTCGCATTTTCCATTCATGAATAGGTGGCTGAATTTGTTCGAGAGGAGAGGACAGATGCCGATGGGTTTGGTTCCGTCCCATGCCCTCCTTAAGGGTAGCTGGAATAGGATGCGTTCTATGGTTTCTTGGAAGCGTTTACATACACGTTGGGCAAGTATTAGAGAGGTCAAGTCTTCGTCTGCGAGGAACTCTAGGACTAAAGACAAGGTCTCGGGAGGCAGGCTTGAGAGAGACATGCTAAGGCGGTGGGTTGGTTAGGTAATATATTATAGTTATATTATAGTTGTCAGGGGTGGGCTATAATGGTTACTAAAAGGGAAGGGGTAGCTAAAGGATGAAAAAATATAAGTTGGAGAAAGGCGGCGTAAGAATGCTTTATATACCTATGGTAAGGCAGCAGTTTGGGATCCTCTGAATCCTAACTATATGATTGGCTGATCTACGATTGGGCGAATATCACCACTATTGCTGATTATATAAGACTGATAGGACAGAAACGCTCCTGGAAGTAAAATCTGAGCTGGAACTGGTCTTGCAGCTATGTATTGGAAGTCTGCTTATGCAAGTCTATATCTGTCTCGGCCGAGTACGACTCTACTATACTGATGCTGCCTGAAACCCAATAAACGAGAATGAAAAGAAAGAGTGGACGAGGGTTCCGAAGCCGCAGAGCTTCATCAGCATAGCTCCCAGAGGGGTCGGGGTAGGTCTGGTCGTAGTGGTGGGGAGTGTCCGGTCTTCATTTGTACATATACCACCTTGCGCTTTGGGTTGCCTATGAGGACCGAGCGAGAATTGAGGCCGTAATAATCAGAAATGGAATGCGTAATCCATCGCCTAGAATCGTCAGTATCGCTTATATAGACTAAATTAGCATATTCATATTTCAAAGGCTCATACCTGAATGCACTATCGGTATCATCACCCAAGGCATCAAAGATCATCCCCTCTTCCTCCGTCTTACCCTTACTTTCTCGCTTTGCTTTCTTCCAGCCATCCCGTGTATTGCCGTCCCGACCAACAAACACAATTTCCTCATCTTCAGTATCCTCACTTTCCGAGGACAGAGGTTCTTTGGCAAGCTCCTGTTCGACGAGGTATCGGCGGACAGGTTCTTCGAGCGAGCGAACCCAAGTCTTAACGGCGGGGGTTTTCTTGGCACGTTGGAACAGTTCGCGGGGCACTCGTCCTGGGACGTGAGCGTCACCTAGTGTCCTAGTCTGCATTTGCTTACGACGAGCGGCTATGTCCGTTTTCGTCTCGACTTCGGCGCGGACACGTTTGTCCCAGACGACTGCGATCTGATAAGGGACATGGTTTACGGGGTGTAGCGGGCGTGGCTCCCAGTCAAAAGGCTGTGGAGGCTGTACGTTGGGTACATGCATGAGACGGTCTGGGGAAAGGGTAGGATATCATATTAGTCTTGCTATTGTACCCATTCACCCGTGAAAAATGGAGTCGAGTGAATAGGGAGGGGCTAATAGGTTGCAAGTACCATTTTCCCAACGCCGCCGCTGTCGGCTACCCTCATTGCCCTTTAGGAGTGCCTCACGTCTGCGTTGGCTGTCACGGCGGGATAAAGGACGCTGTGGTGGCGTAATGGGAGTAGATTTAGAGCGAGGATCTTGAACGGTGACGGATGTTTTCCTCGTAGACTCATGCTCATCTAATGGGATTGATAGCGGGGCACCAATACCACGGGCGATCGAAGATACACTAAGGGATTCGAGTGCAGATATCGTCCATGCTTCAACATCAAGTCCATTTGGTGCTGAACCTGCTGTTATTGGATTCGAGTTCGGTGGCTGCTGATGCTGTTCTTGGTTCAAATTGCTTGAATCGTTCGCCGTGTTGATTAACTCCGGAGGGGGCGGAACAGCGCTATAGATAGCCATTACTGTAATAACGAACTTTGCTTGAATCCAAAGAATGATATAGATAGGGATTATACGTATTCTAGGAATATATTGAGGAGGGAATATAGTGTCAAGTTGAATAAATCAATCAACACTGGCGGCGTGACCGGTAATGGCAATAGTAATGGTAATCAAGCCCCCTTTCTATCTGCAGATATCTGAGGATAAGAGGAGTACGATTCATGACACATCGGACCTTGACTCAACATTTGGTCCAGTAAGTGAGAGATACATACATATAAGCTCTGACCAATCAAGACTGTAGCGCAAACATGCGCATTACTGGTTGGTCCCACTACTACGGCAAGTACCCCACATGTTACCTAAAGGGATCTTAAGTGGATGCAGCCGCGGTGTGACTGCTCCGGGTCGTATTTGCCGGGTAGCCAGGTAGCTTAGTTTGTATGCCCCTACTTTGCCCCTAATTACGTGGTTCGGTTTTTACTAGGTAATACATATAGGACTCATCAAGAATGAAAGAGTCATGCTTCGCGCTCATTACATTCGTAGATAGGTACCTAACCTATACCTAAGCTATAACATGAAAAGACATTTATAAATATCAATCTTCTGTTTTAACTAGATACGACAAGTTCGCCTGGTTATACTATTAACTTTGCACATGTGAATATATTATATTTACTTGTTTCTAGTTCATATTTATAGGTAGATGGGAGGTAGTTTAGGTATTCTTTCATAAAACAAGTAACACACAATTTCAACCAACTTTAAAGCAAATGGACATAGACATTCTCGTGGTCAATAGATAGATGTTTAGAGAAACGAGATAGAGTAGATATCTTACTCTTCAAAACTGGTAGGCTAGCGAACACCTGAGCTGCCAAGTCCACCAGGTGCCAGGAGAGGTTGATTTTCTCCTACGCCTTGGACGCTCTCGCGGTCTAGTGCACGTTCGATCTCTTCTTGCGTTTCGCCATAGGCCTGTAAGTGAGCAGAGTATGGGCCTGGCGAAGGTAGGACTCTGGGTGTGGTACGTCGGTTATACGGAGGACGTTGCGGTTGCGGAGTAGACTGACGGCGCTCCTCCTGCGACGGCCACTCGTAGGAGATGGCCATAAACAATAAGATACCTTGCATTATGGCTGTCAAGACATATACTCCCCAAGAGCTCCAACCTGCCCAGCCAAGACGTGCTGCTAAGCTACCAGCAAAAAGAAACCCACCGGGGGTTTGTATGCACATCATCAAAATACTAAGACTACCAGCGTGCTTGAGGCAGTATGTAGTCCAAATCTGAGGGATGTATTGGACGGCGGCGAGTGCAGCAGACATGATTCCCAAGAAATTCGCCCACGCACCCAGGTACGAGGGAGCACCAAACGCAAATGCAGCTGATACAATAACGACGAGTAGACCGTGAATCAAGCATAGAGCTGCTACGGTAATAGCGGTCCTCCAGGTCGGTTGATCGGGGTCTCGCTCGCACTCATCGTCCGACAGGTCAACGTCTTCCCTACGGAAGAAGACGAGGAATAGAACAAGGCTATATCAGGTTAATAACAACTTCATGTAAGATTGCTAGGGTGAGAACTAACATGATAGCAAAACAAACCCATTGTGTCCCAATCTGCGCAATTCCGAGTAATCCAGCAGTACATTCGAAGGGGCTAACTACTTTGCAGCAGGCAACATCGGCTCGCGATTGAGGCAGGGTGAGGATGTTCCCAAACTGCGAGTTCGCTGAGGTGACACCGAGTAACACGAAATACGGAGATATTCCTTCGGAGGACCCGCGGGAGATGATTCGATAGTGTTGTGTGACATATGATAGCATGATACCGATCACGATTAGACTAGACGTGGATGGTTGGTGATTAGTTTGCTCGGTCTACTACAAATGTTGCTAGATTAAATCCACTAACATGGAGATAAAGAAGTTGGTGAACCCGCCCTCGCGGAGCGCGTCACAGCGATCCTTAATGAAGAGACTGTCCATGATGGCAATTCTCTACGTGGAAATATCGATATCGAAGGTATAGACAGAGCTGGGAAATGCTAGAAGTAATTTAGGTCCTAAAACCGGATGGTCGCTGAGATGGCTAAGGAGTAGGTCGACCTAAGCTAACCAGGTTAATTGGCGATCGTCAAGGATATCCTCAAGGCGATCGAAATGGAATGCAAATAAAGGTGGAATGCGTCCGTCATGCCAGAAGTAGATAGCCTACTTGCTATCTAGCATGGCGGATAAGGACGATACCCTCTTTACGCAGTTGCGATTTTTTTTTTTTAAGGTCTAAGGTTGAAGACGGATACTTCGATTTTACAGCAAACCTCAGGTCTGAAATCAGGAACAAGTTATGATAGGCGACCTATCAGCACTTGCCTAGAATCTGGGGCATGTGATAGGATGCAGGCGGAAGCTGTGTGGAGGGACCCAGACAGCCAGAGCTAGGTTAGCCCCTGCATCGGAAACTTGATAGTAGGGTAAGCTAGCGTGCGTATATTATAGCGGTAAAAACGCTTATTAAATACAAATAACAATAGTACTTCGCTAACACGCCTTAGGTACTATTTGTTAGTGAAACCTTGTACGTGAAGATCCACCAACTCCAGTTCCATCCAGTTCCGTCAACATTGTTGTTGGCGTATCGTCAATTTTACTTCCTAACGTAGTTAGTTCTACTCATAGCACTATTCATAATTCGTCTTAAAAAGTCTAGGAAACCTATGCATTAACAGTTCGCATGCCGTAGAAATGAGAAGTTATAAAACTAGAAGCTCTCCGGCATGGATCACGAAGAGGAGACTCCTCATAGCAACAAGGTAGAACTTGTAGCTTCGACTGGGGATATAATACAACATCTCGATGATACAAACGATGCACTCCAAAGCTACTTCGAGACCGCGCAATGGACTGCGGACGGCACTGCCCTCCTAACATCGACCTCATCAAACTTAATCTCTGGCTACATCATACCCGAAGACCTACTCTCCCCCATAGCTGGCCGGCCCCTCAAGCTCACGCCCCAAGCCGGCATCCAACTCCCTGAACCAAGCAATGTCCTAGCAGGGGCACCGTACTTCCGGCTCACGGAGCCTTGGACGCAGCAACTCCTTGTCTCGAGCCGAGACCACCCCATCCAGCTTTTCTACCTAGCCTCCCCATCCCCATCTTTATCCCCGTCTCCAGCATCCAGCTACCCCCTGACCCAAGCCCGCTCCGAGACCTTCCTGACTGCCACCGCCCTCGTCTGGCCCTCCCCAGGCACACACTTCATCGCCGGTAGCCGCAACCTCCTGGCACGTTTCGACGTGACCCGCACGGGCGAGGAGCCTGTCCTCCGCGTCAAGACCATTCCTTCGGAGCGGCATATATCCAAAGGTGGCGGCGTCGGTATGCGCGGTACCATCTCTTCACTCGCTGCCCAACCCCCGGACGCGAACTTCGCCAGTCTTGTTGCCGCTGGCACTTGGACCCGCTGGGTCGGTCTATATGACTTCGCACAGGCTGGCGGATCCTGGGCCGCCACTTGGAGCGTCGCAAGCGCAGCCAACGACGAGGCATGCATTGGTGGCGACGGCATTACCCAGGCGATCTGGAGTCCCTGTGGCCGGTATTTACTACTCGGCGAGCGCAAGTCGACAGGCGTCCTGGTATACGACGTACGTGTGACGGGGAAACTACTCGGGTGGCTAGCGGGTCGCGACACGCTCGGCAACCAGCGAATCAGCTGCGATGTGTTTCCCGGACAAGGCGAGAGTGAAGAAGGGGGTTTCGAGGTTTGGTCCGGGACGACGGACGGTGCTGTTAAGATGTGGGAAGGTGTCGGGACTCGCGAAGGTGCGCACGAACCGGCTTGGAGTTGGGACACTGCCCGCAAGTCGACCGTAGGGAGTACGTGTGTGCATCCAAGTGGTACTGTAGTCGCTACTTGTTCTGGATCCTGGGAGTTTCCGGATGACGATGATGGAGATAGCGGGTCTCCATCGCAAAGCCGCAGCGACAGCAACGACAGTGGGGAAAGCGATGGTAGTAGCGATATATTTAGGCCCGCGTCGCCTTGGATGCGCAGGCGAAATAAAGAAAGTAGCTTGAAGATATGGAGCATATCAAATAACTCTGAGGAAACAGAGCCTTAGGAAGACGTATAATGGGCTATGCGGCAATGATACTCATAGGTAAATCGTGTATACTCATTTCATTATGTTATCGCTTCTCGCACCCGGTATTATTTGCGAGTACGAGCCTTTATGGAACTCCTTGACCTCGAATTATTTTGTTCCTACTCATTTATGAAGCTACCTAAAGCGGTCGGTAAGCCAATTTCAAGCAAGTAGCCAACGTCTTCTAATCCTTGGCCATATTTCCCTCCTTATTATCGCGATCATGATAATAAGTTGAAGATTACCGAGCATAAGAGGCAATATATCAAGCACAGATTAAGCAATCCTTCCATCAGCCCCATTGAGGCTCCAGAGCTTCATTGACTCTATTCAACACCCTTTCCCCACCCATCAGAATTCGAAACGCTCCAACCCTCTCCTTTGGCATCATATTGATAAACGCTGGAAGCCCATATTTGCCCACTTGTTCTTCGGGAATATCATCAGGGGCTTTGAGCTGTCCGAGTATAGCTTGTGCAGCATACGCATTCATACCGGCCCGCCGTAAGAACACCTCCCATAGCGACTCCTCTTGAATGATTATATCTTCCAAGGCTTCTGCGTCTGGTGCATGGCGGGCCAGGAAAAAAACTAGCCATTTCACGAGTGTATCATCACCGCCTCCCACATAATATACCTGCACATTCGTGTCCAGTCCAGTAGCGAAGCCGACAAAATCAGCAAATCCAGCACACTCTGCAGGCGTAAGATTCCGAGCTGTCTCATCAACGCGATTTCCTTCCGATACAAGGATGATGAGACGTTCGTACCGAAGCGCAACATTACGGATACGCTCCCGGACCTTTGAAAGGCCCTTCTGGCCTGGAGGTGGCTTCTGTATAGCTCTAAGCAACGTAGTCATTACGATTCCAGTGGCAGGCGAAACAATTATGTCCGCTTCGGCGGCCAGTGGTGACGTGATCGGCGACCGAGATACTGAATTACGATTCCATGCTGAAGAATTCCAGCGCTCGAAATCACGTTCGATTATTTCAATATCCGGGTGGGATTTCTCAAGGCGGGAAAATACGCCTCGTTCAAGTGTCAGCGCCTTTATTATCTTCATGTGCGTAAGGGCTGGTTGTAATGGAGGACAAGGAGCGGGAATTAACGGTTCCTTCTCTGGCTCTGGCTTCGATACTGATGTTTCATCCAGTTGACTTTTTGTCGAGGCACTCAAATTCACATTTGTTTGGACATCGTCTACTTGTTTAGTAAATTTTGGGAAGAAGGGACTTTTCATATTCTTTTGCCTTTTTGCGGTATGAAAGTCGAGGTAGTTGGAAAGTAGAGTCGACGTGGCGGAAGTATCGTTGCAACTGAGGAGAAGGTGGGAGTTCTGACCTTGCTCGTCAAGTGGAGTTTGATATGATTCTATTCCTATGGCTTGAAGGGCATGAACTGCTTTGACTGGCGAAACTGAATCTGACGAGTTGCTGAGTTCTCGTCGCCTCTTTCTCACCAATGATTCGATATTATTTTCCTCGCCGGAAACGTAAGGTAATTCCTGTTCCTCTTCATCCTCATCCAATTCCCGAAGAATGGCCAGACCTGGGTGTTTCCAGACATACTCCCCACTTGTTGGGACTTCGAGGGGACCCGAAAAATTGAGTAAGACGTTTGCAATGTCATCGCCTATAATTATCTCATTTGTAGATATATGGCCCATCTTGGACGGAAAGGGGGACCAGCGAAGCTCTCGTTCTGCTTGAGAGCCCTTTGGCCATGAGGGTACGTTAAAAGCTTCGCATGTCATTTCTATCCACTCTAGTTGCAATCCAGAATCTAGCGGGATTTCTTTCCAGTCGGGGTCAGGAATCGAGAAATCCATCGTAGGAATTTCTATTCTAGCGATCGCATCTGCGACCTGTAAATTTTCTTGTGCGATGCTTCTCTTAGTAGATTCAGCCTTTTCTACAAGAGCAGTCCTAAGATCGTCGCTGAGCATACCGCTCGGATCCTTTACGCCCTTAGCATCTGGTATACACGATCCTTGCTTGTCAAGTACGTGATCGATATCTACATACTTAGCGAGGTCTACCATGTCTACCGCTATTTCGGATGATGGTGGTAATGAGTTTAATGGAGTCAAAGGACCTTCAACTTTTAGTGAGTCAACTTTTAGCCGTGTCATGTCTGGCAGTTTGAAGTCGTCTGATGGGGTTATAGTTAGGGGCTCGAGGTCTACGAGCGAGGGAATATCGGGATGATAGTCATCCTCTCGTAGTAGATCCGATTCGGCCTTGATTAAATCATCATCAAGCAGCGTGCTGGCATCTGAAGACAACGGAATTTGACATGCTACGTCTTCGGGGATGAAATAACCCTCGTGTTGTGGATGCGGACTAAGGGGAGGTGTAAGGGCTAAATCTCGAAGAACCTGTCGATGAGAGTTAGCAGTTTAAACAGGCTACCTAACCTAAAGTAATCAAGACTTGTGTATTACTCACCCTCCGATGGGAAACTTCGTTGAATAACTCTGCATTGTTTTCCGATGTCCAGGCATCTTTTAGCATGCGGGAAAGACAGATCATGCCCTCTTTTGGGATATCTATCTTCCCATCCCCAATTTCTTTGATTAGCATCTGCTTATATTGGTACGATTTCTCTGGAAAATCTAGGCCCTCGTCATTTGAAGTGCTAAGAGGCTCCAATGGCACACTTGTTAGGTCTACGTTCGCTTGTCGAAGCTGCCGCATAGACCTAATAAGCTCTCGGCAGTCGTATTCAGGGTCGCTTCGGAGCAAGGGAGATTCCAATTTCAACTTCGAAAAGTTTACAGGGGTAGGACAATAAAATGCATGGCTATTCTCGCGTCCCAGAGATGCAGCATGACTCAATAGTTCAATTGACTCTCTTGACACGCCATCGAGCTGTTCGGTTAAAGAAATTAAGTATGGGATGTGTAGCTGAGTAAGAGAGGCATCATCAACTGATGTATCATCTGATAGCTGGCTGCTTTTCCTTTGGAAATAGTCAAATAAAAGAGAAATTTGTACTTGGGAGTCGATCGATAACCCGTTCAACCGCGCATACTCATCAGGTTCTAAATAAGTATCATCTATCAAAGATTCCTGGAGATCCATCCCGTCCTTCTAACGTGAACCTCGCTGGTTTAATTCATGGTGGTGTTGGTATCGCTCTAGGACAATCGGGTATGAATGATCTTGAATGAGAGTGTACCTAAAGTGAAATAAACCAAATAAATGTTATGGAATAATTGTGAGTGTACACCTAAGTAGGTACCTACCTCATGTACCTAAGGTAATGTCTTCAATGTAATTGATGTATTTAAAGTGGATACATGCCTAGAGGTACGTATAATATATGGTAGGAAGGAAGGACACAAATGAGGAAGAACTACTTTAGGCAGCCACAGCTGATATTTATTATAACTCATCTTTAATTCAAGAATAGAAGGAGGCTTCACTCTGTGTCTACTATTTCCTCGGAGATAACTAAGGGGGATGTATATCTGTTTCTATCCCTAATATAATATATAACTACTATGACCTTAGTGAAAACCCCTAGGTGCTCGACGAAGAGTTTGGGTAAATTCAATGACAAGACTCTGTAATTAGTAGAAAATTACTTAACCCAATAAGAATTCCTCTTATTCCGCCCCTATATATTACCACCATAATACTAGTAAAGTAAAAGTGTATACCCACGTATTACATATCGCAGGAGATAGTTTAGCAAGCAATCCACACTAAAATTTCCACCTGGAAGATAAAAGGAAAATACCGAACTTTCATAAAAACAATAAAAGACTGATATCATAGTGGCTGATTGACAATAGGCAACAACTAGGTATAGCAAAGGAGCGGAATAAATGAGGTTCGCATACGGAATAGTCTAATCGGCTTTCTCAGTGCTTTGTTGTCTTAGGAGACATCATACCCAAAGTTACCTAGGTATCTATCTCATAATAGCTACCTCCTAATGACACATCCTAATAAAGTTACTCCAGCTTGTTACAAATTTGTCTACTCGATATCTTAAACAAGACTTACTTAACCCTTACTGTAATGTTCATATCAGGGCTGATTGCCCGCGGGGCCCCTACATTTCCCAAGTATCTGCTCTACACTAAAGCTACTCTTATTCTTCTTTCAACTATTGTCTTAGCGTTGGCTTCCTATGTACTATCTATTCAGGATAGTGACACTTATTATAACTCTGGAGTTCCAGAGTATCTGATCTTCCTGGTAAGATGCTCTTTTCTAGATTTGACGTCCCCTACACAGTTCTAACTATTTTAGACAATATTTACGTGGGTTGTCTACGGTGCTCCACTAGCTATTGAGCTCAAGGCACCTCAATTCTATTATCGCATAATAGTATTGGCTGCTTATGGCCTGAACTCTATTTTTTGGCTAACGGGTTGGGCTTGGAGCGCATCTTGGGCCTCGTATGGCCTCTCATTCAACAATGGTTACGATGAGAGCAGTGGTAAAGACCTATGGGCTACATTCGGATCTGTAATGGGAGCTTGCGCAGGTCTTGGAGCTCTCATATGGGCTCTATCTATCGCAGAACTCGGCTTCTTCTGCCACTTCGCATTGCGAAACTTTAACCCTATGTATATTGGCAACGCAGGGTCTGAGAGAGTTCACCTCAGGACTCAACATGAGGTTCAGACCTCTCGACCCTCTCAGCGCAGTTATACTACGCAGTCGGTCTATGGGGGGCAACCCCAGTGAGATTAAGCTACGAATTTATAATATAAGAAAAGCGATTGGGTATATTGATGCACTGATTATATGTTATTTTCGGTATAACTTTAAACTAGAAATGAGACTGCTATCTAACTTGTTGTATATTCAACTTGATGCACATCAGAGCTAAAAAATGGTCTGGAAGCTGAAGCTTTTGGACTTGAAATAGTAAATACACCTTATAAATTAGCAAACGGAGATATATCGGCATGTTAATATGATAACTCCTGTCTCAGATCTGTCCGGTCAGTACACACTAAGTTGTTGGTGAGTTTCATTTACTGTAGGTTATGAGTACATGTCGAGGGACTGACTCCACTGGACTGTATCAGCAGAATTTCACTTCTCTGTATTCAATAACACGGGAAACCATTCATGACCAATATTGATCTAATAAGATATCGAAAAGACGAATGAAAATCGTAAGCAAGTACGTGTTAGAATAGCTTTGCGCGTCATACCCACAGAATATGAGCACAAGTCGGTAGCGTAGATTAATGATATATTAATAATTGCCCGACGGAGATGCAGTGGGGATTATAAAGCGCGAAAGAAAAGGGGGAGGGGATTTAATGAACTGCCGGTAGGTGGGGAATCCGACATTCCGGCCTCGGGGTTATCTTTTACGACTACGATAGGCAGGATAGGCAGGACAGGCTAAACGCAGTACCGCCCGACTTTACCGAAACCCCGATCATTCGCCTACCCCTACCCTATTATAACTAACTAATGTATATCCTACTCCACCCAAGTCCAACATGTATAAAGTCATATAGCCGGCTTTAATACCTAGTATTTATTCATCAAGTTGTCTTAAACATCTACCAATTTTCAGTCTGGAAGTCTGGTTGTACTAGAATCTTAAATCATACACTCATAGTAAAAAAAGGACACCATGCCGGCGTTTTCTGTAAGTGATAACCCCTCAGTATTCTAGCCAATCAATCTCGTTACATTAGGTACCCAAGTTACTTTAACTAAGCTTAGCTACCTCCTAAGGTATATAGGTAATCATCTAGCTGACCCTTCTTAGAGACTTATCCGTTTTCTGGCCAAGAATGGCAAAACGTACTATGGAGATGCTATCCTACCAGAGGGGGTGACAGACATTGCTAAGACGAAGAGTGCACGTGTCATCAAAGGGGATATCTTTGGCAAGCACGAAGTTACCGATCAGATTGCGGACGTCCGACTACTTCTAGCACCTCTCGCATTAGAGGAAGTTAAGTCCGTCCGATGTCTGGGTCTTAACTACGCACTACACGCAAAAGAGGTTGGACTATCTAATCTACACAGAGTCTTAATTAGAATGCTAAGATATTTGTTAGGCCAATCTTCCGATACCGAAATATCCAGTCCTATTTGTAAGTGGGCTCTTTTTACCTCATTTGAAATATATGTAAGACCGCGCGCTAAATATGCCGAACAGTACAAGCCGGTCACTTCTCTGTCGGGGCCTACGGATCCTATTCCCATCCACCCAATTGCACAGGAAGAACTAGGACTGGATTATGAAGTTGAACTTGTCGTCATTATTGGAAAGGAGGCTAAGGACGTATCGGAGTCTGAGGCGCTCGACTATGTCCTCGGATACGCTGTCGGAAACGATGTTTCGCACAGAGACTGGCAGGTCGCCCGCGGTGGTGGCCAATGGTCGTTGGGTAAGGGGTTTGATGGCTGGGCACCATATGGGCCGGGCATCGTCACCAGCAATATCATCAAAGACCCACAGACGCTCCAGATCAGCACTAGAGTGAATGGACAGACAGTACAGGTAAGCAAATGAATAGGGCCTCTATGCGGGGAATGGAGATGTAGTGACTCAAACTGGCGGCTGACAATAAGATTTAGGAGAGCAACACAGCCGATCAGATCTTTAATGTTAGGAAAACTATCGCATTCTTGAGCAGGGGCCACACGTTGCTACCTGGTGATCTTATCTGGACGGGCACGCCGTCGGGCGTTGGAATGGGTCGCAAGCCGCAGCTGTGGCTAAAAGATGGCGATATCGTCGAAGTCGAGCTTGAAAGCGTCGGAATTGTCTCCAACAAGGTTGAGTTCACCAAAGAAGACTCCGCTAAGTTGTAACCATATATAATTACTAATCGATGATTAACTGAGCACTTTTGTTGTTTTGCCGACGCTTCTTGCTGTACGACACAATGCTTATCTGCGGCTACCATAAGAACTTCGGGGTAGGTATGTTAGGTAGGTACCTAGGTAGTGCTGCGGCTGAGACGCCCCTTTAAGGCTTGGCCCGAGTCGATCTAAATAATACATAGATCCGGACTGAAGATTTACCTACAAGAGATGTCTTCTGTGAGTTCAATAGGTTAAGATTAGGGTATGTTGTTATTTAAAATAGGTAGGTATTTATCCGGGTCAAGCGTAAAATATGAGGTTTACGTACCTAGGACTGCAGAAGTAATTGCTTATTAGCGGGAGATATTGGATGAAAAGTCCTGTGTGGGTGAAATCGTAGCTGAGTGTATTAAGTACCTCTCAAGTCTGGTGTATGACAGATCCTGCAAATCCATGCTGAGTCGACTAAAACAATCCAATAATCCCTATTTTCCTTATCATGTACCTTACAGGTAGTTAACTAGGCGCCTAAAGGCGTAGGCAACCACGACGTCTTAGCCGGATGGGAACCCCCTTTATGGAATATACTCCGTGTTGCACACATTGCTCTTGCGTTGAGTTTCCCTGGTCTAGAAAAGGTGGCTTATCCTCTACGTATGCTTTTATATTCTATAATGAGCATCTCGATATTGTCAGTTCCCGTCGCAGCCGCGTAATCTTGTTACATCGATCATAGTTATGTGCTGTATCATCGCGCTGCCAAATTTAATACATTACTTAGAAGCTAATATTAGTATTTATTCAATTCCAATCTCTCACAGCTAATTGCCCAAATGACCTCACCCTCATACAATGAGATAGTTAGGGATTTGTATAGTCAAATCCACGAAAAACTGGAAAGGCGGGACAATGCCGACCGGCGCTTCGCTACAGTCGGTACCACACAAGTGGTACTGGCCCCCTACAACTTAAGGCGCTTATTCTGCAGTCTGGTACCTTCTAATGATTCATTGGAAACGCATTTTGGACATGGGATAACTGTGGATTTGCTGACATCTCGAATCGAAGAGCGAAGTCTCCACAACTTTGTAGCAATTTTAATTTACTCCCGCTGTAGTATAGAGTCAGCTAGATGCTTTACCAGGAAACTTCTCATATGTCCCTCTGATCCCGACAGCTGGCCAATTTCCTACGATGGTCAGACTAGGATTGATCAGCTTCCAGCAGAGCGCGAACAACTCGAACAAATATTCGGGGTAGAGAATGGACCTGACATCAACAGCTTCATGGATATGCAACCCTGCTTTTGCCCTATTGTGCTTCATAGTGGGAACGTTCAATGGGCCGATGGGAAAAAGCAGAGGCTTCCTTATATGTTCAATGAAGAGGAAATCGGAAGGGGGTCTTATGGAGTGGTTTATCGCGTCGTCATAGCCAAAGGGCACTTGGTAAATGAGTCCATGGCAATGGTGAATTCGGAACCCATGCCAATGGCCCGAAAGGATTTTGAGAAAAATGTCCACTTTCAAAAAGAGCTAGGAACCATGAAGCAGATTCTATGCACTCCTCGGAAATCTAAGAACGTCGTCGAGACTTTCGGTAGTCTTCAGCTTGATGAAAGTATATTCAGCTTATTCATGCCGCTTGCGGAATGCGACCTCAGAAACTGGATGCGCAACAATACGCCTCCGATTCTCGAATCGGAAAAAGCAGACATTCTAGAATGTGCATCGGGCCTTGCAGACGGCCTAGAATTTCTTCATTCCGAGATCAGAGACTCCAGCGGTAATAGAATGGTCTGTTACCATATGGATTTGAAGCCAGCAAATGTTCTTGTCTTTTATGATGGAGAACATAGAAAATTAGTTTGGAAAATTAGTGACTTCGGCATGTCTCGTGTGAAAGTATCACATAACCACACTAACACAGTTGATCAAGATATCAGCGTTCTTTTTGAGAAGAGAAGAGGCGACACTTCGGTATCAGATACTGTAAATCGCCGATTGGAGGGCACCTACCTCGCGCCCGAGTCAAGTATCTCAGTGCGAAATATGAACGAGAAAAGTGATATTTGGTCTCTAGGATGTGTCATTAGCGTCGTTTTAACATATATAAACGAGGGACAAGAGGGTATTGATACGTACGCGGACATGAGAGCAGCTACTTCCAAAAGCTCCAGAGCAGGAGACAAAGACCACTTCTTCCTTATCAGTCGATATCGTACACCACCCAAGCCTCATCCGGCAATCAAAGAATACCATAGGCATCTAATCAAGGAAGCCAATAGAAGGAATTCAGGCGAAGGCAAAGTAATGAAAGAGGTATTAAACTATATTGAAGAGAGGGTCCTAGAGCTAGATCCTCGACGGAGAGAGTCGGCTAGGTGTATCAGGGATAAACTTCTCGCTACATCAGCGGCTTACCATAAACTAAGCGAGAATCCCGAACAATACCAAGGCCCTACACAAGACGGAATTATTTCGAGGATAATTTCTCGATTCCCAATAAAACAGTAAGTATAAAAGAGTACCTATCTGGTTCCATGCCTATACTCCTGCAGCTGACATTACCCTCATCAGTCAGAGACATGATGGGCCGAAGCTAGAAAGTTGGTGGATTTCCAATACAAGATCCGTCGTAGGATGCTCTATAGCCACCAACGAGCCAGTCATCGCTCATTGGACAGATACCTGTATTTCGTTATATGACTTACAATATTTTCAGCGACGAGGTGTGGACAACAGGGTTCCATATTACGAACGGCAAGAAATAGGCATGTGGAGAAGCGTGAAGCTAAATGAGACATACCTAATTGCTTCGATAACAGGACGCCATTCCCACGTAAGTCTAGTACTATTTTCATGGCAAATAGAGCAGAACTTAATGTGGCGTCTAGATCTATCTCTTTGATATCAAAGGTGGCAGATTGCCAGGGCTGAATTTTGATCTGAACTATAAAATCGAACTCCCTGTTGACACTCCTAATGGTCTTGATCGAATAGCTATATCTCCAGGGGGTAAAATCCTTGCTTGTGTGGTGCATCAAGACTTAGAGAGTTCATGGATATACTACGCCAAAATAAGCGATCTACTCAGTCACAGGATCCCGAGGTATTACTATGACATCCTTGGTATTAATTCTTACTGACGTTACATTAGGGGTGATTCTGAAAGTACGTTATCATCCAGCGACGAACTCCAGTATAGGATCACTACGGAAGAACCATGGGATAGACTCGGAGTGGATGCCCCGGCGGGAAGCGTCACACATTTGTCATTCCCTTCTGATACAGCCCTTTATTATATTACTCAACCAGATATATCCGAAAAACATGATATAAAGATTTTCTACCTATCGTTACTTACCAGACAGGTCAAAATTAGACATGTGGAAAACTCTGCCCAAACACCATCGGGAGTAGGTTCCAATATACACATTAAACAAAAGACCAACATTCAAGTAACTAACAGGTAGCTACAGGATGTCGATAGTGGTAACTGGGGCCGCCTTTTCACAACCATTACCGCAATAAATGACGAACAAACATTCGCAGTCGTGCTCTATGAAAATCAATTACGCATCCGAAATTTTGGTGGTAGAAATCCAATACCTAATAGTGATTTAACTCTCAGGAATTATTTCATCAGAAAACTCTTAATAGACAAGCAGAACTCGCGGCTCTTTGCTCTGGCGTCTAAGAGTGGTAACAGCACAATGCTACTGATCGAATTACCTCTACCTCATCTCGGAGACAGAGAAAAGCCTCGAGAAATCAAAGAACTCCCTGAAATTGGCTATAGGGATAAGGTTACTTCTATGATTTTCGGTGGAGAAAATAAGAAAGATGAAAATGGAGGATACATCATCATATTAGCTTACGCCGCCACTGGATTAATGCTATATAAAATCAGCCTTTTAGGGCTTAAATGATGGTCATAGCTTTGGTAAATCAATACCTAGGTGCAGTACCTAACTGCCTGAATCATTGAGAGGTAGAATCAGTGCCTGACGGGAGTCACTGTAGCTACGGGATCCATACCTTAGGTACCTAGGTAGGTATTTATAGTGGAGCAATGACCTTCATTAATTACCTAAGGTACCCAATCTGATTCAATGCAAACGCTCTCTGGTAATTACGAGACATAATTGCCAAATATAAGATTTAAGACCCCTATTCTAGTAACGACCTTACCAAGATTAAATATGGCGTCTGAAGGAGACCTTGACCGGTCTGATCCAAATGCTTTCATAAAGCGGTTCGACCCATTAATACTCATCGCATCACCGACAGAAGTTCGTCGGGAGGCTCAGGAGAGATCAAATAATATTTTCAGCAGCTATGGCAACTTACACGATATTCTTGTCCGCCACGAGGCAACCATTCAGAAGCGCTGGAATAAGAAAACGAGGCAGCAGAAGCAGAAGATTTTGTTGGATGCATGGCCAGACATGGCAGTAACACATCGCCCTGACTTTGATGCTTTCTGGCGGACCGGTAGATCTCATGTAGGCACATCTGGAGAAAGGTTTAGGGACTGCTATCTATTGCCTCAAATCAATCAGGAAGATCTTCTGAAGCCGAAAACCCTTCTCCTACTACTGAACGCGCGAGGACGTAACTCGCCGCCAGAATTCGCTGCTGCCGACGTCGAAGCAATGCACCTAGGCTTAGTATCTAAGAATATAAGGGCTATATTCCTAAACGAGCATACTATGACCCTTCACGGCGCTACTAATGCTAGTGAATACGGTAAGCTCTGGGAGTGGAGCGAGCACCCCGACGCCTTCGACTGGATGCATACTCAAAAGCAATTCCTCCCTGGCGAGGGCTTGCTCATTCTTGAGGCCCAAGAGAAGATTATGAAGTTTCTGGTTACTTGCTGCCAATATATACTGCACGAGATTCTAGCGGATAATCTCATAGCAGATACATTTCCCGTTCAATCTGAGCCGCATTTGAAGACAGGAAAGGAAACGAATGGCTTTGATTCTTTGGCGGTGATGGCAGCAGAGATGCCTTATCGACTACCTGCCAGGCTAGATCTTAACCGAATTGAGTCAGTCCTTGGCGCCAGACTATCCGCAGCTGAGGACCATCTATGGGCCATACGAGAAGATCCAGCATATTTTCTTGAGCAGCTCATTGAGACTAAGGAACATCGGCAAGAGCTATTAAGGGATACTTTTGGGGATGAACACCCCATCTTCCGGAAAGTTCACCAAAAGACGTTCTGGGCTCGCGTCTATGGCACAGTTATTTTCGAGTCCTACTTACAACTTGAGGTCTTTTCGGAGCTGTATCAACAGGCTCAAGCACTAAAGCTACTACAGATCAAATATGCGGCCGTCATATCACCTACTAAAGACTTACCTGAGGAATTGATGAACGCTATACTCAAATTCCGTCATTATTTAAACCAGGCAGCGAAAGGCCCCCAGGGTGGGCTACGGGATGGCGTTGTTGCTTCACCCCCGTGGCGCAAGTACTTTACCCGCGATCCACCACCAAACTCTACCTCGACCAAGATTCTTACGTACCAGAAGACTGGCGTAAAGATGAGCGCCATTGAGCGCCAGCTCCTCTGGATTTTCAGTACGCTATGGGAGGACGGCCAGGATCTCTTTCTTGCTCGCCTACCGCTGATCGTCGACGAGCTGGGAAGGCTGCTTGAAACAGAACCACGCGCGCAGGAGCTAGTGTCCCAGAAGATTACTGGCATTATCGGTGACCTAGCCATCCTTTCGCATTGCATAAGCCAGCTCGACCTGTATCAACCGTGGGCAAGGAGCTTTGAAACAGCTTTAGTCGATCGGTCAGATGACATCGAAAGTGAATTTAAGGAGCGTACTAAATCATGGGGCATGATCATGGAAGCACTTCGAGATAGCAACCTCGTCCAGGTCGCCCAGATCGGTAACCCTTCTGATAGAAGATTTGCCTACCCATATGAGAAGCGCCGGACTAGGCAGAACATAGAGGAATTGCAGCAAGCTGAGCAACATCTCGACCAGTGTTGGGCAGCCATTGACCTAGTAGTAAATAAAAAATGTGAGAGTCTAAAGTGTACGGCTGTCCATCGCACTCTATGCCAACCACGTATGATTCAACGTACACCAAACTGGGTTGACCCCCCACCATCCATAACGAAAGCACCAGGCCGAGAACCAGTCCTGGATCCAAACATTGCTGATCTGTATAAACCCCTCTCTACCATCTATATTGGAGAACCAGCCAGAATTACCAGCAACAAACCTAAAACGCTGACACTGAAGACCAAGACCAAGACGAGAGAATTATCTTCTAATACCGCCACGGGGCCAACTACCGTCATAGATGAAGACCCAAAACCTGAACCAATTTCCATCGCTGTCAACGCCCGCTCTCTTAAGGTATTTCGGACACTCTTTTTTAACCCGGCTAAAATGTCTTCGCCTGGCGAGGTCTTATGGAACGACTTCCTACACGCCATGACATCTTCCGGCTTATTCACGGCCGAGAAACTATATGGATCCGTCTGGCAGTTCCAAAAACTAGAAGGTGACCAGAGTAGAATCCAATTTCATGAGCCGCATCCTCGGGGGAAGATACCATTTACGACTGCGAGGAGACATGGGAGGAGGCTTCATAGGGCATTTGGGTGGGGCAGAGATACGTTTGTCCTCGAGTAGAAATAACGAAGGGTTTCTTTGCTGCTACCCCTCAACCTCGTAATTAGGGCATCAATCCTAAGGCCGAGACTATTAGGCCAAATGAGTTAAATCTTCACAAAAACAATAAGATACATCGACAACAGATGAATAGTGTAGACATGATCTAGAGAATCTATTCAAACGTAGTTCAAGAGCCGTGTTGTCTGTAACGGTGAAGGAATATAACCTAGAGGTCTGTGTTTATCTGGGTTCGTATTTTAAAAGATACTTAGCTAAATATATAAGTGGTGTACCTCCATAATGAGATGTTTTAAATATGTTGAGAAAGTCACAGTTTAATTAATAATATATCTTTAATGATATACAATTGATGTAACATAAACAGCAACTATCACGTATTTACACAGGTAGCTTTTCAATCTTCTTTGTCGAGTCCCCTTTTATCGTCAGAGCACGGCGTGCCAATGCTCTCCAGTCTCCCACATGAACCTTCGGCGACATTCTCTTCACAACAACATTATCATGATGCAGTACCCAATGGTAAACCAAGAAGGTAATGATTGTTAGCAGGATAGAGGATAGTATATATATCCATATCATAGGAGTACTGATGATTCGTTTTGAGTCCGAGTCTAAATCAAAGAAGTTCATACCGAAAAAAGTCTAGTGATAATTAGTGATTGCACGATATCGCGGAACAAATTAGATTAGTTTCATACTCACGGCCACGAAGGAAGCTGGAAGGTAAAGAAGAGTCAGCGTGGTGAGGAAAACAGCTGACTTATTCAGTTGCAGCATGTTGCCGTTCTGTTGCTTGGCAAGGATCTGGTCTCGGAATGATAAAGTATTAGCTAGGAGTTGTGCAGTAGTCTGGGCTCGTTGCTGTAAAAGGTTCGCAACACGACAATGAGCCACAGATCGACGGCGATAATTATCAAGCGCATCTATTGTCTCTGGCACTATGCTCTTTAAGCCTTCCTGGATGAATATGGAAGAAAGCTCCTTCAGGACATCTTCACTATGAGACAAGAGGGTAGTTACTTGGAGGAATTGGCTATCAAGGCTTGCCAAAGCGCTAAGATTGTCGTATCCTACACGCAGTGGCTCGTCTATAAAAGTCGAAAACGTAGTGCTTGTCTATGTTCACCAAAGGGTTAAAGTAACCATCATGGTTTAGGTGCGTTATATATGATAGACTTACTTCGGGAAGCAGTTTTCGCTCTAAGAAAGCGAGATACTCTCTCCATGCTGGGAAATATATTAAAAACAGTATTTCATGGATAGACCATGGAATTGGAAAATTTCTCGAGCCGCAATTTGTGCCAAGTAAGATGTTTTCTATCTTCTGATGGGCTGCCGAGTTTGGCGTTGGGTTAAATAAGATCGATGCACTCTGGTTAGTAGATGCGTCGAATCGATAATAAAGGCCACTTTGACGAATAACCCAATTTCCACCATTGGGTTTCAGCTCGGGATAACGAATCGTGTAATAGATCTCTTATATCCAGTTAGCTATAGTTCTATCAAAATAATTCGTCGAGTCAAACGCCTACCAATTGAAGAGCTCTTCCTATTTACAGTAACAGGAAGACAGGAGTTTACTTCCACGTCGTCGTTCCGGTAGTAGAAACATGATGGTAGATCCCAGAATGAGTCGCTTATACCGTGTTTAGATACGAAAAGCTCCAGCAACCCCCTAGTTATTTGCAGAGAGCTCCACGACGTCCTTTGGCATATAGACCTGGAAAATTTCAGTGATAACCCGGATTATTCCTTTATTAAGACATACAAGTGACGATGTAAATGACTTGGCTTACTCTGGTTTAGATAATCTTCGATCTCCTGTGCCGTAGATAGTTGACGAGTAGACTGCTCTTCATTGCATTGATTTTGAGGTAACACTTCTATGAGCCTAATGGGAGCCACAACTTGATCGACGAAGCACTTGCTAATATGAGACATTTTGGTATAATAGTAAAGCGAGTCTCCTAAAGCTAGTATGCTAGTCCGACTAGTATACGCTTTGATATATATATTTCCCTAGTATGTTTTGGCAAGGTAGATAGTAATGTATGTAACATTTTTAATTCGTGGACCCTTCAGCTACCTATGTTGGGTAATTGATGTTCTACGCCAGGGACACGGGATACCCGATACAACATTACACCGCCAAACAGCCCGCCAATATACGCCACACTCGGACATAGCATCGGTATGTATAACTTAATTATCTCTCGCCCCGCTGATTTTATTAGATACCTCTTAATTTCTCAGAGTATGTCAGATGATGCATGTGTTTGCTTACTTGATGTCACTCTAAAAATATGTTAGTCTTATGAGCGTTGTGGGATATTATGCCTTAGATAGCTACCTAAGGCATATAAGAGAGAACTCACCTCGCTGACTACACTAGGTACGGTAAAACACCACTGGTCATCTCTCAGCTACGTCAGTCAGCCCATGCTCCAAAATCCCTGTGTTACATGACCGACACTAACTCGAATATTGAAATCAGCCTGACCCGGGAAAAGTCGTTGAAGAAGTCTAAGTAGACTGTCCTCCTTAAGGTATCGTGTATTAGTATTTTGGGTTACTGACATGCTGACAGTCTAGTTTCGAGTATGAAGTAGAGATTGGGGTTTATAGAAAGAATTTGGTAGGCGTATTTACTCAGATCACTGTGACTTGAGAAATAGGAAACAGGGTGAGATGAGGCGACCCCAATCTATGGCCATCTATTAATACGCCCAAAGTACCTCCTAGGATAGGAAGGATTGATACGACCGATCTAAACTTTTAGAAGGCCAATGGCAGCTCTGTACTGCAGCCACCGTGTATCAAGTCTAGATAAGGGGCCCCTTTTACTAGATTTTAATAATGAGGAGTTAGATAGTTGCAGGATAATCAACTACCATTGACATATTTCTTCATGGTTCTTATTGACGCCAAGATACCCATGGAGCCCAAGAAAGTCGCGCTTGTCCTATAAGAATTACAGAAGATATAAGTCGAACCCTCGCGCAGGGAGCTTAGAATTATTGTCAATTGTACTCAAAAATGCCTCAGCTGATAGAACTCAAGGCTCGGTCAACTAGCGCTACGGCGCAGTCAGCAATGGTAACAGCTAACCAAATAAATCTCGCCAAAGTAGGCGAAGCGTAGTACAATAGAAGCAGGCGAAGGGTGCGCGAATGGTGGCGGCGGTGCATACATGTACTACGGAAACCAGCATCCTCAGAGCCTTGCAAGCCCGCAACCAATTCGCCGGAATTTCTGAGTCTTAACATTACTCAAGTCCCCATAATGAATCGGTATGTTTAGACTTGTAATAACCATAGAAATCGGGCCAGCAAACCAATAATGGCGACCGAGGCCACACGAGGCCGGTCTCATATGCTACGGGATTCGCCCGAGAATTCGGATCTTCCACTAGAATACGGCTCTGGTAACGACACTAAGGCAGTCTCTATTCCAAGCAACAATAAGACTCGCCATCCAAACTCCCAAGCATATCATACAGAAACACTGTCTCCGATTCGGGCTAATACAAAGAAGGGAAGAGTGACACACAGGAGGCTGCTCCCTATCCATGTGTTTGTGAGTGGAACTTTGATTGCTGTCAAATATTTACGTAGTAGCTAATAAGGATAGATGATCTCCGTCAATGCCACTCTGGGGACAGGACTCTACTGGCGCGGCGGACAGATCTTGGAGCTAGGCGGTTTCCTGGCCGTTATCATCTCCTTTTTGTTACTTGGAATACTATCATGGCTAGTTACGCAGTGTATTACCGAACTTCTTTGTATCTGGCCGGTTCCCGGTGCCATGTCCGTCTTCGTACGCGAGTTTGTCGATTCTGAGCTAGGAATTGCCGTGGGTGTTGCATATTGGTTCGCCATAGAAATTAAATCGTGTCATACAAGATCACTAACAAATCACAGGTTCACATATTCAGTATCCTTCGCTGCATTGATAGCATATGCCGCAGAGGAGGTTCACTATTGGACTACTGATATACAGACTGGGCTAGATGCCGGAGTTTTATATTTACTTGTGCCCGTGGCCTTAATAGTCCTTAATTGTTTTGGAATTCATGTAAGTACTTCGAGGTTTATCGAAACCATTCAGCAGCGGAAGCTCTCTAACAATCCCCTCTATAGGTATATGGATGGTTCGAGGTTGTTACTGCCATCATCAAGTTATCCTTCTTGGCCATTATTGCCATTGCAACGCTTGTATTCGGTACGGTACCGTCGAACCAACATGTTGACCATAATTCCTATTAACGGTAGTATTCAGCTACTAAGAACCCCGAAAACCCCGAGGAGAAGCATAGTGAGTTATATTTACTTAGTCCAACTCACCGGAAGATACGTTAGATATTTACCAAACCACTAGGCTGGGCGCATCCAACCACGTTCGATCATACCGCAGCGAAAAGTTGGTTTCCTGCTCTATGGTAAGTAAGTTTTTGCCACATTTAGACATCCAGAAACTAAATTTCAATTCAGCATATGTCTATCTACCGCAACATTCGCTTATGTTGGCGTCGAAGTTCCAGCAGCCGCCGCACTCGAAGCTCGTCCTACCAATGCCTCAGCCCATAAGCGCAACCAAGCCAGTAATATTGGGGAAACCGTTCGGTTTCCGTCGAAATGGATCTCGGTTTTCGCGTGTATTTCGTATACACTTAGCGGGATTCTGGTATCTCTGAGCGTCGATCCCAATGATTGTCGGCTGCCTCGAGTCGGTTGGCTGGATTACGATAGCTGCGAGACAGTTCAGTCGGCATTCGTTCTCGTCGCAAAAGTTCGCGGTAATGCGAACATAGCGAGCGCCTTCAACGCGTTCCTTATATTCACCGCGTTGTCGTGTGCCAACACAAACCTTTACGTAGCATCTAGAACACTATTTGGTTTAACTAATCAGATAGATGGCGGTTCAGACGTGCCTTGGTACTTGAATATTCTTGCATGGCTTGGTCGTACCAACAGCTACAGAGTTCCAATCCGGGCAAT